CATCAAGATAAAATTGACTTTGAGCATTTTTCTAAGTAAGGCGGCTTTCACTTTAAAAAGCAGACAGCAATTCCCCAATTCAACTTGTCTCCACCTTTCTTTTTACTCATTCAGCTCCTCTTCAAAGTAGCATGGGAGCTTTCGAACACATATCAATAGGTAGCCTTTTACTAAACAAAGAATTCAGCAATTTTTTTTTGTTTTTTATTTTTCTTTCTTTTTCAAGCCGAATTTATTCATTTTTTTTATTTATTTAAGCTCCTATTTTTCCAGATAATAACCTTTATAGTTTTTTTAATCAATATACCCTAGTCAACAATTCAAAGATTTTCAATTAGATTTTTCAAATTTGGACTAGTGTACAAAAGATTATGAACTTAAGAGATTCAAATCTAAAAATCCGTTAAACAATGCAAATCAACTTTTCATTAAATAAATTACAAACCAAGAATATTTTCAATAAAAAATCATGTGTCCAGATTTGCATTCAAAGATAGATCATAAATTCAATGGAAGAATTTTCTCAAATATATCATGAAGACTATGATCAGAAACTCAAACCTAAACCAAACCCTAGCAAGTGATCCAATGGTTACAAAATTTTCTTTTAAACACAAGCCATAATCACTAAATCTCATAGGACACAGTTTAAAGGTGAAGTCCTTTTGGAAACTTATTTCAAGGACTCAACAGGCATATACTTGATTAAATTAGACTTTTTGATCCACATAGTTCTCACTTTCAATTCCTGAAATTCTTTATCATTCTTTACCTCTCCCTTAGGCAAAATTTCAGTTCTTCAAACCTTGGGTGACAATTTCTTTTTCTTTCTGGAGCACACCTTTTTCTTAACATGAGAATTTTGAGAATGAATTTTAGAAAAATCTTTCTTTTTCCTGTGAAGGCATGAGTTATACTTATGTCCATTCTTTCCACAAAAAGTGCAATGCAACAATTTAGGCACATAAGACATATCAGAATGTGATGCATCAAGCAAACATGGTTTAGACATAATAGCAGGTTTAACAAAATTTGTTTTACCTTAATTACTAAAAGAACCTTTAATAAATCCTAACTATGTTTTATCATTCACATCCTTACCCATGTTGATATCTTATTTAAACTGTTGTGACTTAAATTGAATCCTTTCAGTTTATCTTGTTCAGATTTCAATTCAATTTCAAGATAATCATTTTTCAAAGCAAGACATTCATTCAATGAGTTAGCAACACGTACCTTATTCTCAAGAATGATAATCTACCTCTCAAGCTCAGTGATGACAAAATTGTTTTCAACAGCTCTCCTTTTGCCTTCATCAATCTGTTTCTTTAGATCTTCATTCTCTCATTTTGCTTGGATAAGCTCATTTGCTAGCTTATTGATTGCCTATTTGGTCTCCATGGTTTCTTTGACCATCTTCTTCAATTTTTCATCGTCCTTTTCAACCTCTTCCACCTGTTCATCATGAACTTCATTGTCTTTGTTATCTGAAATGTCAGAGTCAGATAAATGAATGACATGAGGACCTTTATCAAGAAAAGTGACATAAGAAAAATCATTAGTATCATCCTAAGGAGAATCACTATCACTTAAAATAGATTTTTTAGACATAAAAACTTTCATTGATTTTTCTTTATTCCTATCATTTTATTCTTTCCTAGGACTAGGACGTGACCATTGCCACCACAATTCTAGCAAGTAAATTCAGTTTCTTTTAATTCTTCTACTTTATTTTCATTAAACTTAAACTTTGACGTCTTGTCAAAATTTTAAGGATTAGCCATGTTGATATTCCTTCTCCGCTATTGCCTTTGCAAAATCTGACTGAATTGCCTTGACAAGAATGCAATATCATCCCAAGAGTCATCATTCACAGAATGCTCAACCTGTGTAGATTTCAAAGCAACATTTTTCTCCTTCTGACTTAAATCAAAATTCTGAATCTCAAAATTTTTTAATGAACCTACCATCTCATCAACTTGACAGGTAGTCAAATCCCAATGTTCAGAGATGGTTTCAGCCCTAATTTGAAATCTTTTAGGTAAAGACCTTAAGATTTTCTCACAAATTTTTTTATCACTAACTTTTTTACTTGAGTGACGTAGTTCAGAAATTATTTCAAGAAGACTAGAATAAAAATTAGAAAAGGAGTCATCTTTTTTCATCACAATGTTGCCAAATGTATGAAAGAGCAACTGAATTTTGGACAACTTCACTTTTGAAGTTCCTTCATGAGTAACCTGCAAAATATCTCAAGCTTCTTTAGCAGTTTTATAATCAGAAATTCTAGCATATTCAAATGGAACAACAAAATTAGTAATTGAATATAAAGCTTTGACATTAGCATCATTACGCTTAGTTTCAATAGCAAAAGTGAAAGTATCTTTTAACTCTTTGATTACTTTACCATCCACAGTTATATCTATTGTAGGAGGTGTATAGCCAGATGCAACTATTGCCCAAGTTTTACCACCAGAATTTTGCAAATAAGTTCTCATCTTTGATTTCCAAAAATTGTAATTATCTTCTTCAAATAAAGGACCACGTTGATTAAAACCACCTTCTTTCAATGCATAAGACATGATTTAGAAAATAATTTTTTAAAACAAAAAAGAAAACTTCCCAACAAGGATCAATTCAATATGTAGAGATTGGCTCTGCTACCAACTTGTAAGTCGTATGTAGCGAAATGTATTAAGGAAAGTTTTAGATTTTGTAAAACAGATCTGTGTCACTACCAACTTTACTTATTTTAGCAATTAAACAGTTAATCACATGCAGATTAAATACAGCAAAGTACAAAGTTAAAGATGATACTAGAATTTTAGCGAGAAAACCCCAGTTGGTAATAAAATACGTCAACTGTTATAGGAAAAACCTCATGAATTGTGCAGTCCAAAGTAAACCAATCCACTATGCTTGAAACAAAGTATACCGAACTTTAACTGTGGCTCACACCCTATTGTTCTACCAAACACTAACTGCTGACAATCATCTTACTTTGCGACTTTCCGTCCAACAACAACTTGAACTCAGGCTTATGCTTGATATTTGTAGAAGAGTAGCAGGTAGATTAGATAACACTCTACGAATGCTCCAACCCTTTCAAAGTGTGATTGTTTTTACTTCTGTTCTTCAATCATCTGAATGATGTAGAAGAAGATCTACTTTGTTTGATCGATGTAAATATAACTGTATGATCACGATCAGGATTTCAACTCCACAACTCTAACCTAACTATGTGAATATATGTATGTTCTAGGAAGACAACAGAAAAATTAACTTTGATTTTCTGAAAGGGATAAATTTCCTAAGGCTTTGTATGATATATGAATAATGATGTAAAGCCGTTTTTAAACCTACGTGTGTGACATGGTTTATATAGAGGTTTGCAAAGTCCTATTCCTTCTGAAAATAAAGGAAATTTCATGCATAGAACTTGGAAGGAATGTTGGATCAAAAAGGAATTAAACAAAGCAAGGAAATGAATCCTTTTGTAATCAGGACACTTGGAACCGATTCCCAAACTTGGTACCGGTTCCCAAAGGACAGAGAGTTGTTCGCGATGTTTAGTTTCTGAAACCAATTCCCAAATTCAGGCACCAGTTCCCACTTAACAGAATCCAATATGAACTTGAATTTTCTGTATTTTTGGAACTCTAAAAATATACCATATAGGTATTTGTGTCATAAGTGGGAAATGAAGGCCTAATATGTTGTTCTTTCCTTTTCGATGATCAATAGTACTTTCCTCTTCTGATCAACCTCTAACGTTGTTGTATTTTTCAGCTGCATAGTTATTATCCCAAGACCAATTTTGTTTGTTCCTTGCTTTAATCTTAGAAAAATTATTACTGCATAATATGACAGCAATAATATTTAAATAATAATACTATAGTAAAATGGGAATTAAAACGAAGATTCTATCTTAAGATTGTTGATAAAAATGTCTATGTGTATGGTATACTATATAAAAGAACTTATTAATAGGTTGAGGCTAGAATTTGATTCTATTTCCTTAAGACAGATTCGCTCCGCTATAGTACTGGTGGATTCCGTAGCGTCTGTCTCCAAGTATACAACCATCTTTCTTTCTTCAGTAGCACCACTTCAAATTGGAGAAATGGACGAACCGGCTTAGTATAGTACTCTCTCTAAAAATAAGACCCAAACTCACACACTAAAACTATATATGTATGCAGCAGAAGAGAAAGACAAAGGGAGAGAAAAGAATCCAGAAATCTGTAAAATGATTCTGAATTGGTGCACTTTGCTAAATAATCCAGGGGGTATTTATCGGCCACTAGGTGCCTTTTCGGATTAGGTGTGTCTTTTTTATTAGGATACAATGGTTTAGACATGTCCACTAATTTATATCCACTCCCAAACACATCCTTATCAAATAGACACGACCCTTCTCAAACAAACCAGTGATCGCACCTTTCCATATTGGTTGTTTCATTCTTTTACAAACACGTCTTTTGGCCTGAAAACTTTATATATTGCGATATACTTTTATGTAACACCATAAAACACTTGATATTTTTGTTGTAGTATAATGTGATATACATGGACACTCAATATTACATTCACGTTTCTCTAACGTTGTTGTATTTTTCAACTTACATTGCAGGTAAGTTTCATTCATAAGAAACAGTAATTCCATAACTAGTTTCTAACACCCGGTGCACTGGGCACACTGAGCTCCTACTTTTTAACCAAATTGAGGACAATTTGAGTTTTTATTTTTATTTTTATTTTTAATTAATTTATTTTTTTATTGACAAGAAACTAGCATACTCATTTAAAGCACTTGGTGTTGCTATAACTTGGACTTTGTTAGCAATTAAGATTCTAATTTCAACTTAATTGATTACTAACGATCCGTACGAAGATTCATTAATCTATGATGCCCTGTTTCTCAGTTCATTTTATCAAAACATAGAAAAATGTACAAGTAACACATCAGAAATACTCAATACTCAAATAATTGTCTCATCTCAAATCTCATTGTATAGATTTAAATAGAATACAAAATTACAAAATGTTTGTTGGTTCTTCCTCAGAAATCATAAACACTAATTTCTTTTTCTTTTTTTTTTTCACCACTTCCTATGAGATTCAATGTAATATACTATAAAATTTTGAATTCCACAGGAAGTAGCAAGAATTCCTTGGAAATAGCCTAAAACCAAACACAAAAATATAAAGTACTCTCTCTCTCTACCTTACAACTAAGTAAAAGAACAAGAGAAGATACCCCTAAAAAAATGGACCAACCGAATGATCGGATTAAACTAAAATAACTAAGGAACCCAAAGAATCTTCCTTGATTTCAGCTTTGAGTGGCTTATTATGTTCCTCAATTTCTTCGCTGTCATCATCAACCACATCAACTCCAGTCAGCTCTTTAGCTCTCTCAGCCTGAAACTCCCAATCTGTCCGAACCAAAACCACCAACATGGTCACCAAACACGAGCTCTCTGCAGCCAACAGGCCCAACCACAACCCTTCAAAATCAAACCCTAGATAGAACCCTAACCCGACAGCCACCGGCATTCCAACAAGGTAGAAGCAACCCAAATTGATGTTTGCTCCAACCTTAGGCCTAGCTGTTCCTCTCAACACTCCACAACCTGTTGTTTGTGGGCAGTTACTGAGCTCACAAAGTCCGATAATCGGCAAAACAAGCGATGTCAATGCTATAATCTCCTTATCTTGTGTGAACATCATAGCCCACACATTCCTCACCATGACTGCGAAAACCAAAGCCGAAAACCCCAACATGAAGCTCCAACAGAGGCCTACAATGGCTGCCAGCTTTGCCTTCTCGGGCCGGCTGGCACCCAGTTCGTTACCGACCCTTGTCGACACGCTGAAGCTCAGAGAAGATGGGAAGATGTAGATTAACGAAGTGGTTTGAATGAGAATGCCCATTGAAGCAACGGTTGCTCTTGGGTTCAACAACAACCCGCAGAGCAAGATCATGATTTCGTACCACCACCATTCGAGACACACCGAAATGCAGCTCGGAATAGCCAAATTCAATAAAGATTTCCATTCTTTCAAGCACTCCATTGACAAGCCTACCCAAGTTTTCTTGTACACACCAGAGATTAGTATGTAGATGATTAAGAACGCTACGAGATTGAAGTTTGTCCAAACCCCACTAATTGCAACCCCTCTAGTCCCTAAACCAAGCTTGGAAACAAGAAAATAAGTTATGGGTATGTGTAGAATAACAGTTAGAGTGGCACAGAATGTTAGAGGTAGAGTTATCGACTGAGTTCGGAGATAGATTCTTATTGGATGAAGAAAAGATTGAGCTAAAAGATCAGGAAGAGAGTACAAAAGGTATGATTGTGCTTCAGTCGATATAGACTCATCTTGGCCACACAAGAGTAGAATTCTCTGCATGTTCAACCAAAGAAGAGCTATTGGGAATGAGGTGAGAATGAGCAAAAGCACTGTTCTTTGCAAGGAAAGGCCAAGGAGGGTGTGTCTTTTGGCGCCAAATGCTTGGCCACAGATGGGTTCCATCCCCATTGCGAGGCCGGAGAGGATCGAGTAGCCGGTGATGTTTGCGAAGCCAACGGCGAGGGAACCTCCGGCCAAGGCCAGGTCGCCGAGGCGGCCGAGGAAGAGCATGGAGATCATGGAGCGAGAGTAGAGCAAGAGGCCTGTCAGTATCATGGGAAGAGCTATTTTGGCTATCGACTTGGCTTCATTGATGGCAAGAGAGAGATGGGTTTTGTGGGGATTTTGGTTTTGTTGTTTGTGTTGTGGTTCAAATGTTGGGCTTTTGGGGATCAAAGGAGTGAACATGTCGGCCTCTTCTGTGTTATTGATTGAGAGGAGGTGTGGGTGGTCGGAATTGCATTTGCAGGAGAGAGGAGAGGAAGCTAATTGGCACATTGTTGTGATAAATGTGCTTCTAAATTTTAGAGAGAGAGAGAGATGGAGGGAGAGAGAGGGTGGTATTTTGAGAAGAAATGGTGGGTTTTATAAGGGTTTTCTTGGGACGGCCTAGTAAAGTCATTGGGTTTTAAAATTTTGAATGTCTTACATTCTGATAAAATTTTGGCAGAACATCAGTGTTTGTTCTGACTTCTGACTCACTGACCGGCAGAACACTATGTATGCCATAGTGTGTGTGTGTGTGAGAGAGAGAGAGAGAGGGAGACAATCTATGAGTGGAACTATGATCTGAGATTCATATGTAAAAGGAATTTTGTGGTCCTCCAAATATGAATTTACACAAATACTAACAGTTTTGTTAGGATTTGGAACTATTATAAGTGTTGATATTATTAAAATGAGAGTCAAATGGTTTTAGGGGTGACAATAAATTAATTCTGACTAGAAGTTGACATTGTATAGTATATCGATACTGAACCCTAACTCAACCATTAAATAAAAATTGAAATTGCCACCCTTAAATTTTAAATGTTTTCTCGAGTCATACACAAAAACAGTCTTTGGACGTTTATAAATTGACATATTTTGTTGTGATCCAAAACTTACAAAGTTCCACTCGATGTTATCTTTGATCCATGCTATTAATTATATAAGAATTAAGATTTTCACCAATTTTCCGTCCACATTGTGTGACGGGGCGGCTCTTCATGGCTTTTTTTCTTTTGGTTTTTTTTTTTTTTATTATTATTTTATTTTTGGTTCCTTGAACCATGTCGTTAGTTGCCATTTCTGTTCACTCAACCAATAATAAAAGGGCATTGAACCACATTGGTACAAATATTTTTGGCCCCAAGTCCGCACCGAAAGCTCAGCTAGTAAGATCTTTGAGAGTACTATCAAAAGTGAGATTTTGTTTATTGATAAGATCTAATTTGGAAAGAATTGTCGAAAGTAAGGGTTTAGCTTAAATGATGTGATTTACGAATGATTACGTATATTTTGTGTTTACAAATTATAAGTTTAAAGTAACTAGCGAGGGAGTAGAATTTTTTTATTACAGATTATTCAGGAAGCAGAACAATACATAAGGTTTCTAGGATGGTAGGGAATCCACTCCTGTGTGACTTTAGGCCAAGCGTCATCGAGTGTATTTAAGTCAATAACATAATTTTAAATCAGTAATGCAATTACATAAAAGATGTTATATTCTCAATTCAATAATGCTGAATAATTATAACTTGCTATAATATCTTGTCTGAGCGTGTATTCTAACTTTTTTTTTTTTTTGTTTATGTAAAAGTATTACATGAATGTTATTACATCGTTATTGAACGAGTGTTACATTTATAATGTAACATATTGCATCGTCATATAGTGTGCTCGTTGTTAATTTTAAATCGCAAACGAGTGGATCCGGATACTCCAATGGCAACCAACTTGCAAGGGTCCCTGTTGGTCAAGTTCGACCCAAATAGGGAACACTTGTTGGTCTAAAAATGGAAAGCGTGTCAACTTTTGGTGGGAATTTGATTTTAGATTCTAATTTTACACTATGGGGGCAGAAACGTCAAACAGCACCAAGTGGAAAAAGTAGTGAATCTTAGTGATCGTTCAAACCAACGAGTGGCATGGTGGGTTGGTCTTCTTGTCAAAAAGCTTGATGTGCAAGCACATATGAGCCCACAGTATGGGGTTTTATGTACTGACAATGGCTTGGTCATACACAACAAAACGTGTTGAAAGTTCTTCTTCAAAAGCAAGAATGTTCTATGCTAAGCCCTCCGTTCACAACACTCTACTTTGACTCTCAATTGAGTTCCCATTTTAAGTTTCTAAAGTGACGTATGAAAGCTGGTTTTCTTCTTAATGATTGATTAGCACTAGGAAGTTTGAAACCATAACTGGCTTGCATTAAACTATATTATTGATTCTATTTTTCTTTTCCTTTTTTTCTTTTTACGCAGATTAGCTAATGACATAGTGTTACAAGAAAGATTTGTTCTACGTCGGATCAGGATAACAAAGTAAATGGATATACATGGGTTAGGTGTTAATCTCAACTAGCAACTTAAATTTTTACGTTAAATCACGAAGCACCTGACCTGTTATAGTTGTACTCAGTCTTTGATCCGATGTCACACTAAGCACCTGATCAGAAGGTATTCAGTACTTCACGAGAGTGTTGCAAGTTTGGATGAAGGAGAATATTACAAGGGATAGAACGTTGAGGAAGAAGTCTAGTATCCCCATGAGGGTGTTACGAATTCAGGTGGAAGAGAATGTTACACGGAGTAGAGCACTCAAAAAGGTGTCTGATACCTCACAACAACGTTGCGAATTCGGATAGAAAAGAATGTTACACTAAGCAAGTGTGTCCATGTTCTAATCCCCCTTCCCTTGGTTGCCAAAGGAAAAAAAAATGTAGATGTTTTCTTGAACAACCAATTAAAATTGTAATTCATTAAGATCACTTAACAATTACAACAATCTTTGTAAAAAAAATAAAAGATTTATATTATATATTTTTTTTACAATTTGCTCAAAACCAGGGGCGGAGGGAGAGGGTGGCCATGGCCCCCCAAATTTTTTGCAAAATTTTAGTATTAGTACTAAATTATATATATTAATAGTCATTTTTCTATATAAAAATTAAATTGGCTCCCCCAAATTTTTTGCAAAATCTATTTATGGTACTAAATTATAGTTATTAATGGTAATTTTTCAAAAAACTAAAGTTGGTTCTTCAAAATTTTTGTAAAACCCTATTTGTGGTACTAAATTATAGTTACTAATAGTGATTTTTATATAAAAATTAAAGTTTGTCTATCTCAAATTCTAAAAAAAAAAAAAAAAAAAAAAAAAAAAAAAAAAAAAAAATCTATTTATGATTATTGAATGTGTTTTGTGAATGAAATTATTTATAACCTTCCAAATTCGAATAAACATCTTGCTTCAAAAAAAAAATAAAAATAAAAAATAAAATAAAAATAAAATAAAAAACCATTATTATAGTTACTAATGGTGATTTTTTATATAAAAATTAAATCTTGCCTTTTCCAAATTCTAAAAAAATTTCTATTTATGATTTACCTTATGATTATTGAATGTGGTTTGTGAATGAATTTTATTATTATTATTATTATTTTGATAGATATGATTTGTGAATGAAATTACTCATAACCCTTCACGTTTGAATAAACCTATTGCTTTAATAAATTCAAAATATAGTAAAATATAATAATAATAATAATAATAATAATAATAATAACCATTATTATGATAATCCTTATTTCATCATACTTTATTTACACACACACACATACATTACACACACAAAGATATATATATATATATATATATATATATATATATATATATATATTATTTGTTATGAATTAGAAAGAAGAAAAAAAATATTGTTTGACACTGAAAAACCTCAATTGTTCTTAATTTGCTTTATTTTTCTTTTCATATCTTTTATAAGCACATACTCTTAATGTTAAAAATGAACTAAAAAAATTTACAAGTATTTTATTTTATTTTTTAAATTTGATTCTATATTAACTAATTTGGCCCTCCCAAATATTTTTTCCTGGCTCCGTCCTTGCTCAAAACTATATAGAATTGAATTCCTGAAAAAAAATCATGAGAGAAATGTGTGTGTTTTTTTTTTTTTTTTTTTTCTTTTTTTCTCTTTTCTTTTAATGTAGAGCTTAGCATGAGGATTTTAGTAAATTCAACTTGAGCTATGATCAAATTGGTTGATACGTTGCATCATCCATAACAAGAGGTACCATATACTAGTGCAGAAGTGAAGTTCATCCACTAAAACTGTGTCCTTTGGTCAAAATTTTGAAGAATTACTCACGTTAATAATGAGATGCACTGAATCAACCCGCCCCAAGTCACATTCATAATATCTTGCATCTTCAAGAGTAAACTCTTACTTTTTCTTAACCGACTTGGTGTCAATTTATGGTACGTGCATCATAATTTGTGTATTGGTAATTGTTTGGTAAGAAACAGAAATATCCATGTGGATACAACTCCCCGCTGAACGTGAATACCCAAACTATAACAAGGGTTTTGTCTCATATCGAATACGGGAAGCTTCTGCAGTTTATAAAAACAGATAAACAGTAATACTTAATAATTTAAATTTTCCAACCAAATTACAAAATTCAGTTCATTAATAGTAACTTTTCGAAAACTAAGAGTTAGATCATATAATTTTATTTTGGTTTCTTTATTAACTTGTTTTTGCGTCCAACACGGAACATAACTTTATTTATATTCTAAATAAATAAATGGGAACATTCATGATCGATTGAATGAGAATAATTGTGCCATTAATCCATTTTTTATCATGTCTCATGAAGTTAAAAAGGCTATGAAAGAAAAACAAAAGAATAACTTTGAATTCATAAAATTTAGGGTAGAGAAAACTATTATGTTATTGATGAATAATATTACAACAATACTACATAATATTACAACAATTATTCAATGCCCAATAGAATACTAAAAGCAGTCTAATTTGGAAATATACAATTATATGAATCCAATAGAATCCTAAAAGCAGTCTAATTTGGAACTATCTTCTAAAATCATGAAAAACTAGAAATATGACCATAATCCACTAAAATAAGGTGACTATCAAAAATCAACTCAACTTGTGTTCGTTTTGATTTTCAACAAAATTCCTGAAAATTCGACAGCTCTTCTATAAAAATCACTAAAACAATGCCAATGTTGGTGTTTGGTTGAAAAGTGCCTTACATAACATGTATAACTAGAGTGGAGCCAGGATTTTAATTCAGAAGGGGCGTAGTGTAAAAATAAATAAATAATTTTAAAAAATAATAATAAATAAATAAATTTACATACTATATACATCATTCTTAAGTGCAAAAAGAAGTATGTTAAGAAGTAGGGGGATAAAAAAAATTAATAAGAAGAAGAAGAATATAAAGGGAAGAAAAATGAGATATTTGAAAGGAAAAAAATATTAGAGTTTGAGTAAAGAAGGAAAATTTAATATTTGTTTTTTTTTTATAAAGAAATCAAAAGAATATTAAGGGTATAAGAAAAAAGGAAATAAAATTTAGAAAACAATTTTAGAAATTTA